ATTGATTTGGTCACCTGAAACTGCATCAAAGGCTTACATCGACACAGTTAAATCGGTAAATTCCTATCTTCAGTTCATGAAAAATGGAAAAAAACCGAAAAGATAGAATCTTTTCGACATTTCTCAAAACCCCAATTCTCAAAATTTGACAATTTTTTTTCATATGATTTGAGATTTTAACACGGAAATGTTCGATCTTTCGTGGTTTTTCACATATCATTTGAGAATTTTAAGACGAACAATGTTTTGATCTTTGAAAGTTTTAATCTTTTTGTTTACAATGTGTAAAGTTGTTGATTTTTTTTTCTTGGGTTATTTTGTGTAGTGCGAGAGTCTTGGGACGCCGGGAGCGGCGGAGCTAGTGTCGGCGATGGCGGCGGGATGGAACGCGACTTTAATCGTGGAAACATGGTCAGAAGGTGAAACCATAGCTATAAGCGTTGGTTTAAACGTAGCGTGTCAACACACAAACGCAAGACATATTTGTATTGTACCAAACGCGGCATCAGAAACCGCTTATCTTCAAGCCATGGCACAACAATCTTGCTCAAACTTGCCGGAGACAATCATTATGAACGAGGACGAAGATGAAGAAGCAGAGAGCACGATCCAGAAGCTACAAGGAATCGATTTCTTGGTAACTGATTGGGATCAAAAGGAATTCGCAGCAAACGTTTTGAGAAACGCTGCGTTTGGTAGCCGAGGAGCGGTTGTGGTCTGCAGAAGCGGTTACCGGAGGAGCGCTTCGTGTTTCAGTTGGACACGAGCGTTTAGTGACCGGAAAGTTGTGAGAACGGTGACTCTTCCGGTTTCCGGTGGTCTAGAAATAGCTCATGTGTCGGCGGCGAGAAGCTCTGGGAAGAGTGATAACAGCAGCACGAAAAAATGGATTAAGCATATTGATCGAAAATCAGGAGAAGAACATGTAATTAGAAAGTAAAAAAAAACAGAGAGATTTATAAAGAGAAAAGTGTGGAATGATATGTTTGATATTTTCCTTGTTTATGATTTGTATGAGAGTGATTTGTACATAAACCCAATACATTGAAATTTTTTACTGGATGATTTGATTGTTGTGTTGCATGAAATCCCACGAAATATAACATAAACATCTAAGTCAAAGGCTTTAGAATCAACCTGCACTCCATTGTATGGTTTTAAGCTTAATCCCAACTACTGCGGTCTCTTCTCGCAGCTTTCTTGTCCGAAAGAACTTTTTTGCTTTTAAGTCGTTTATCGTCAGCTCTTGCAGCCCTGAAAATGTCAGAAAATTTAGTGAAACATAAACGGAATTCGCCTGAGGATTGAGGTAAGAAATGGAAAGAGGATTTGGTTTGGTTGATTCTTACATCTTTACAATTTTCTTCTTCTGTTCTTCTGATGGAGGTGGTGGAACATATGAAGCCGCATCAATTATCGCCTGATCAGTTTTATATCATTAAAACAAAGTATCTCAGGCATTATATCGAATAAAACACATCATGATGACCAAAGACGACGACATTGAATATAATCATTTAGTATTTACCTGTAGTTTAGCAAGTGCATCGTCGATGTTGCCTCTGCACAAAAACTTAAATGTCAGAAAAGGGAGAGTTTCCTTGAAAATGGAATAAGAAAGACAAGATTCTTTAGGTTTCTGACTTCTGCGTTCTGGTTTTGGTTGAAGATATCACAAGTTCTCCGTCCTTGTTAATCCGATTCTTCTCCTGTTGACAAAACAGCAAAAGCTAAAATACTCCCAACAAGATCAGCTCTATATACCAAAACAACATTTTCACAACTATCTGTAATTGCTCGAATGGAACATGACAGAGATAAAAATTGCGCAAGTAGCTTCGTAGAAAGGGAAAACAGAGTAAACACAAACCGTCTGTATGATTTTCTCTCTGATTCTATCACTTAACCAATACGCATTTTTCACATTGAACCGCATATCTACTTTGGTATTCACTGAAAAAAAAAACAAACAAAGAAGCATTGATACATCAAGTAGTCACTCAAAAGCTACAAATGCAAAGATCAGTAAAAGGCGCGTAAAGAGAAGGTTCACACCTTTGTTCACATTCTGGCCTCCAGGGCCACCACTTCTAGCAAAGTTAAGCGTAACATGGTCTGCAATTACCAAAGATAGATAAAATTCTAATTGTTTCCATCAAATTACCACAGAAGTCAAGAACCATGTCCCTATCTGTATGCTTTCACTAATCTAACACACAAAAATCAACCACACATTTCCTGTAAAATGAGCTTCATCTTCTCCAAAGATGTTAC